AAAAAACATATATATACATAAATAAAAATAAGCCTACTGATTACATCAAATGTTTAGCAATGCATCAAAAAATATTAAATTTCTTACCATACTGTCTTTTATAAGGAGTGACTGGTACTTGTATTTCATATTATTATACTTTTTGAGAAGACTCTCTGCCTGAACCTCAAACTGGGCATCAGACTCGGCCAGATCCCTTGGAGTGGGACCATGATCGCTGTACACATGGTAACGGATGAGCCGCTTGCAAGCATCAATTTTATTCTTGAATGGATTACGGTAATCTGGGTTCAAGGCGCCATTTTGGTCTGTTTTCAGCTGATGCTCAAACCTGTTAGAGTGAATAGTCTTGTATTATAAATATCCTTTTTTCACAGTAGTCCATAAAACTTCCAACAACATATAAGAAATCCAAATTGCATTTTTATAAAATAAATAATGAATAAAAAATAATAACAAGAAAAATAAAAAAATAAAATAAAATAAAATTCATCTTACAGCTGATCCTTGGTAATGCTGAAGGCTGGTGACGGAGCAGGTGCCTTAGAGTGGCTCTGGCAGTGCTGGTCTTGAGTCCCCATGGTCACAGTGACACAGGAGGTTGCAGCTGTGGCTGGGGTCTGCACCACCATGCTCGTTGTCACTAGGGCCTTTGGGGACGGTCCCGAGGTGGTGGGGTGGGAAGCAGGCGGGGTGGCCGAAGACACTGGGGAGCACTGGGGTGGGGTTGTTTTTACAGAGTAGCTCAGGTTATTGTTTGTGGTGCAGCTGGAGATGGTGGTGGATGTGGTGGGCACAGTGGGTGAGGGAACTGAGGTGGCAATGGTGGGCATACTTGCACCAACACCAGGGCTGGCACTCACTCTACTCTGTCCAGAACTCACTGCCGCCTGTGACACAGAAGAAAGAGGTTAGCAAGATGTAATTTCTTGGAGATGATGGGTTTAAAAAGGGCTAATAAACAATCTTTCTTCTACATAACTGTGATGTTTATCACAAACTAAATGAAAACATAAATGACAAATTGTACTTATCAACAATTACTTTCTCTTTTTTCCTTGATATCCTAAAACACATCCCACTTAATATACAGCTAAATCCAATCCATAACATTGGTTTGGATTCCCTAAATAAGGTAGCTTTTTACACTACCTGTCCACTTGGAGACACATGTGGAGTTGTTGTCGACTGTGCCCCAGGGGATGTGACAACTCCTGATGAGGGCGTTGGGATGGTCTCCTTCCATCTCTGCAAACCTTGCTTATTTTGTTCTGTTCTCTGTTGACCCTGTGTCATCCATAAAAAATATCATTATAAATGATGAATGAATAAATGAATACATAACAAATTCCACATTGCCAACTAAAGACGATAATTGGGTATCATTCTTCAACCTCTTCTGGATGAGCTAGAATATGTGAGGAACATTTCTGACAAATCCAAACTTTAAGAAGATGTTTTGCCCCCAAAATAGACAGTAACAGTAAAGAAAAAAAAAATATACGTACTGGGCTGAACCTAAATGGACACATGACCATAAACAATTACAAAAAGGTTAACAAACACTCAGTCAAAGCTTCACTTGACTGAGGTCAACAAACACACAAACTCATCCCTTTTTCTCACCTGTTGTAAATGCTTGATATGCTGTTTGAATGGAGTGAATGTGATGATTTTGTGGCCCACAGGATGAGAGTACCTTACTGGCGTGGGCTGGCTGGGAGCAGGAGCCTGAGGACAGAAAAAACATCAGTCTGGATTTCAAAACTTGCTGAATATATTTAGGTAGGTGCAGGATATCTTTTTTTTTTTTTTTTTTTTTTTTTTTTTACATAATCCATTCTATTACACTTTCAATTAGGATTAAATTGCCCATTTTGCTATAAAATATTTTCATTTCAAAATACAGAGGGATAAATATAAGTATATACATATGATTCTATCACATGTATACTGTGTGTGTATATAGGTAGGAAGGTGTGTAGATGGATATGTAGGTAGGTAAGTAGGTAGGTGTGGAAGGTGTGGTAGGTCTGTAGGTAGGAAGGTAGGAGTATAGGTAGGTAGGTAGGTAGGTAGGTAGGTAGGTAGGTAGGTAGGTAGGTAGGTAGGTAGGTAGGTAGGTAGGTAGGTAGGTAGGTAGGTAGGTTGGTGTGGAGGTAGGTACATAGGTAGGTAGGTGTGTGGTAGTTAGTTTGTGAGTGAGTGAGTGTCTGAGTGAGTGAGTGAGTGAGTGAGTGAGTGTCTGTGAGTGAGTGAGTGAGTGAGTGAGTGAGTGAGTGAGTGAGTGAGTGAGTGAGTGAGTGAGTGAGTGAGTGAGTGAGTGAGTGAGTGAGCGAGCGAGTGAGTGAGTGTGCATGTGGTGTGTGTGTTTGCATGCATATAACATATAAGGAATTCTGACACTCCAGAAATATACAACAGAACATTGGCCTACATACTATATGAGGCTGCTGAGTGGTGGTTGTGACTGTTACATGCTTTCCAGTGGCCATGATTTTTTTGTATTCTGCATAGAGCTGCTGTAGCGATGCCTGGTCCTGGTCAGACTTCTTGTTTTGGAGTGACTGAATCTGAGAGTGCACTTTCTTGAGTGCCTGGATGGGAAAACAATGATAACAATAATGATGGAATTCAGTGCTGATAATGACAATGTTAATTAAGTTAAATAAAATAATAATTAGAATCAGAGAATCTAAGAAGTCACTGTACATTACTTGAAATAAATTCATAACCCACACTCTGACATACACTCTTTTAGAGATACATGTATATCTATTAGAAATAATAATGAAATAAACTTAAAAATATTCCACAATGACTGTCTCACCCAATTATCTATAGATCTCAGTTTCAGTTCATCTGCTGTTACAATGACAAGCCAGTACCTCAACTTGGTGCACTGGAGAGCTTTCTGGTACATCAAACATCATCACCTGCTGTGCCTTTCACACTGATAAAGACTTTCACCCTAACACACTCCCAGACCCTTAAAGACTCCCTTATCTCTATCTCTTTTATCTTCTCTTATGGGGAGAAAAAAGATATCTGTCAGGCTTGCTACTTAATTTTGAAAGCACTCACTGACCTCTACATCACTTTCATAGTTGTGATTACCTCTGTGCAGTAGTAATGAAACAGTCATCAAATCAAACACTTTAAGAAAAGGCTTATGAGGTATACTCAGACTTCAACCTATATTCACTTTAAATAGTCATTAATACCAACAAATACACTGGAAAAAGGCATGCATAAAAACTGATATTTTCACTAAAAATTGGCAATCCACAAAGACACAAGGGACAGCTAAGGAACAAACAAACAGGCAGACACGCTCAACTTACTCAATCATATCCTTATACGTATCTTAATCACACACAAGTAAAATTACCTGTAATATAATAAGCTTAAAAGAGTAGTACTATTAGAAACAACAGATGGTATCTCTCAGTCTTACCTCCTGGTTATGTGGCGAAAGAATGAGGTGTTTGATTTGTTTAATCTGCGGTTTCTGGCCACCAATCACGACCCCTGGAGTGTGCTGCACTGCCGTACTGGTGGATGTTATGGTGGAAGTGGTGGTAGTTACTTGCGATTGTGATGTGACAGTGATTGTTGACGTAACTGTGACCATGGTGGCTGGCTGAGTTACTGATGACAGACTAGAGGCAACCGTGGATGCGCTTTCTGTGAGACCTACCATCTCCCCCACAGGTAATAATGTTGTTCTCTGGGATGTGCTATTGCTCAAGTTGAGGGCTGGTGTCTTGAGGCTGGAACCACTTAGGCCATTGGGCAGCGCTGCCAGAGGCATCGACTGCTGGTTTGTCCCACTGGTGGAGTTAGCAGTGCCTGCTTTCAGTCTCTCCTGTAAGCTCTGTTTCCCTATTATCTGGTTTGATGGTATAGGTGGAATGGAGTCAGTCTCCTTATCTTTTCTCTTCTTTTTATTTGATTTTGATTTGTTTTTACTGGAGTCTATGAGATTTTGACCTTTCTGAATGGATGCAACATATTCATTCTGGAAGCTCGGAGGCTTACTGTTACTCTCAATGTTTTTAGTTACAAATGCACCTGTATTACTGGTGTGACTAGGAACATTATCTTGCAGCAAAGTATTTACAATCTGGGGATGGTTTTGTGACATTGGCACATTTTCTGAATTAGTTTGTGTAACACTAGTTTGTGGAATGAGTGCCGAGTTGGTAACAAAGGGTTTGTGGCTTATAATAGCACCAGACACAACACTGTTTGTAGCACTAGAAGACACAATCACAGCAGAACTCTGAGGCACTTGGCTAGCTTGACTGGGCACCAGTATACTAAGAGGAGCCGGCGAGGAAAAAGTTGTACCAGTTGACACTCCACCTTCAGGTACGCTCATCACACCTCCTACACTGACTACTGTGAGCATAGACCCACCACCATCGGTCGAAACTTGCACAGGAACACTGGACTGTTCTCCACTGGCATTGGAGAGACCCTGTTGCCCCGACAGGAGTGATGGCAGGAGAGGCTGTCCAGGGGTGAAAGTTTTCTCTGAGGCAGGCAAGTGTAGTGTCTGCAACAGATGTGTGTTCTGGGCCACCTGGGAGATATCCCCTCCTGTCTGGGTCTTGGCTGGCAACTGTGTCACCTTTGGCACAGCTTGCTGCAGCTGTAATGGCCGCGTCTTTGAAGTCCCACTTGGCCCATGAACAACGACGTTCGTTGTCACCTGCGTTGGGGTAGTGAGTAACTGGGTGAAGGAAGGCAGGGATCCCACAGTGGGAAGAGCATTGGCTCCAATCATCCCAGCACCTCCAGTTCCAGCCATCACTGTGGGCATGCCACTATTCATCACATTCACCACACCTCCTCCACTGCCCATGCCTGCCACAGATGACACTCCAACACCTGCCCCTCCTATCACTTGCATCTGATGCTGACAGGTTGGTATCACCAACCCACCAACCTTATTGGAGAAAAAAAGAAAATAAGAAAGAAGCAACAATGTATTCCATTGCATTTCAAAGAAATTAAAGTTTGAAATGAAGGATTTTCTGTTTTTTATTTACCTTTTATTTCATTGGTTTAGTTTCATCCATGGATCAAAAGTAAAAAAAAAAAATGCTATAAGAAAACTCACCTGTGAAACTGTTGGTGTTGATGGAAGAGTCAATTGAGGTTTGGTGAGATCAGACCCCAAGATAACCTTGCCACTAGGATCCAAAGTCAAGCACATACCACCTTGTACATTTGCCACAGACGTCATTAGCCCACTTGTTGAATTTGTTACAACCGTCCCTGTTGGAACTGAGCTGGATATGCCCACCAAAGTGGGTGTCTGAGATGAGCCCACTACAACATGACCGGTACTTTCAGGAGTAAAACTCGTGCTGGATTCAGATCTAGGTACATTAGCTGACACAGGAGCTGTTGTGACAACTGCCTGTGCCACAGCTGCTGGGGCTACAGGAGTAGTTGTCATCTGGCCACCTTCTAACCCCTCACTTCCAAGCCCTATTTCATTATCATCAAACACCATCATGTCACCCATAATGCCAGTTTCTTTTAAAATATCATTCAGGTTGATTGAACTCCCTTTATTCTTCAATTTTTCATCTTTGGGTTCTTTCTCTTTCTTTTTCTTTTTGGACTTTTTCTTAGTATTTTTATTGGGGTCACTCACAGTTTGGTGTGTCCCAACCTCAGCAGCTGTCACAATGGAGGCAGGTGCCACATTTTCTTCTATCACAGTTTGCTTAGTGGTGGTTATCACAGATGGGAGGGAGGAGGGTAAAGATGAAGCCAGCTGGAGAGGTGCTCCTGGAACAGACACATGCAACTGTTGTCCGCTCCCCGGCATTTGTATATGACCCATACTCACCACCGGAGCCATATTTGCCGTCGCCACAGAGGAAGGGGCAAGCTGAAGGGGCCCTGAGCCCACTTGTGGTGCCAGGGTTCTCATTGTAGCACCCCCAGCTGCTATAAGACCCTGTAGGTTGACCGTCTGGCCTGCTGGCACGGCTACAAACGCGGGACCATTTGGGGTCTGGATTTGCTGAAACTGTATTGGTGCTTGGGGTGCAACAAATCTGATGATAGGCTGGGGTCCCCGTGCAGCACCTGGTGCTCCTATCACACCAGGTGCAATATTCTGGGGGATAACAAAAGCTGGACCACCCTGACCACTGCCTGGAAAAACAACAGTCTGGGGCTGGCTGGCTTTAGCTCCAGCACTCACCAACTGAGGCTGACCTGGCATTGGCACTAGCAGGGCTTGCCCAGGTGCCCCTGCGCCTGAATGTCCGGATGGTCTGACCAGGAGGACGCCACTGGGCTGTTGGATGAGTAGAGGTTGCTGAAGATTTGACTGCAGAAGGGAGGGGTTGATGACAAACCCTCCAAGACCTTGCTGGCTGGCAACCATTGTAGTGGCCTGCTGACCCCCTGCCCCAATGACAATTGGCTGCTGAGTGCCAGGGGTGACGGGGCGACTGCCAATGAGGGCTTTCCCTGGGGGTGCAGGGGGAGGCTGGCCAACCACAGGTTGTTGTGGAGGCTTGGGCAACAACTGTGGTTGTTTGGGTTGTATTGGTTTATGAGAAGGTGTAACAAGAGGTTGCCTTGGTTGGGTTGGCTGTGGTGATGAAACTATCTGGATTAGCTGCCCTCCTGAAACCACCTGCTTCACACCAGCTGTGGCCTGCTGTACACCTGGCTGTGGTAACACCATGCCATTAGACCCAACCACCTGTGACAGAGGAGGCAACTGTGGAACTAAGCCTTGCACCATTCCAACATTACCCATTACACCCTGAACCACACCAGCTGTTGGCTGCTGTTGTGGCAGTTGGCTTATACTGCTGTGTGTCTGAGGTGTTGGGGTGGCAGCTGGGGAGGGAGTTGGTGGAGCAGGGGACCTCATGGCACTGACATTGTTGTGTGGAGATGGTGCAGGAGATCGCGTGCTATATGGGACAGGGCTTGGTGCTGCTGGATGGGGCGATGGGGTGGTTGGATGATAGGATGATGGACTGGGCGAGGTACGTGGTAATGCTGTTCCTGGTGACTTGCTGGGAACGGAGAATGGAGAGGCTGCTGGTGTGGGAGGCTGCCCTGATTGCTGTAGTGTTACTGTATGTGTTTGTTGTTGTTGCTGCTGCTGTTGCTGCTGAATGGCTGGGCTGCTGGGTGTTACATATAGAGGTGCTGGAGCCCCACCAAGGCCAGTTACACCAGTGCTGACCATTTGGGCTGTGGTAGTGATCAGCTGACTACTGTTGATCACTTGCCCACCCTGGATGAGCTGGCCACCCTGTAACACCTGGCTGCCTTGTATGACTGGACCTCCTTGTAAAATCTGACCCCCATGCAACATGTGTGCTCCATGGAGCACCTGTCCCCCCTGCAGAACCTGGCCATTGTGCAATACCTGCCCACCTGGAAGAAGTTGGCTGGTTGGCATGACCTGTGTGGATCCAGGTGCCTGCAGAAGCTGGGTGCCCTGTAAGAGTTGTGGTGAGGCGGACGTTATAATCTGGCCCCCTGATGTGATTACCTGGTTGGGCCCCCCCACCAACTGGACTCCACTTGACATGACTTGGGACGTGGCTTGAGCAGCAGCTTGCGAAATGACCTGAGGAGGAGGCTGGGGTGTGGTTGGGAGACTCCCCTGACTATTCTTTGTTGCAGGGGAGATCTGAGGCCTGACTGCAACTGGACGTGGAGAGGGTTGGACTGGAAGCTGTGGCTGCGGCTGGGGCTGCTGTGCTTGTGGTATGGAGGGCAGACGAGAAGCTGTTGTGGTGAGTATCGTCGGGGGCAAGCTATGGCCCACTGCTCCGACATTTGCTTGGTGGTGTGGCTGTGAGAGAAGCTGGCCCTGCGGCTGTGGCTGGGAGGGGAATGCAGCAGGGGAGGCCAGGAGCTGTTGTAGGGTGGGGGGGTCATTCTCCCGGCTTCCATCCCCCCCATTGGTGTTTGGGGCCCCCGCCACATGGGGAGCCCCAGATGACTGAATGGCTACATTTTGCTGCTGCTGATGGGCATGTTGCTGATGCTGGGGATGCGGAGCTTGCTGGTGTGGCTGGGGCTGGGGTGGCTGCTGCGGCTGGGGTGGCTGAGGCGGTTGCTGCTGTGGCTGTTGTGGCTGTGGCTGCTGATGTTGCTGTTGCTGCTGCTGAGGATGAGGTGCCCCCTGTGGTGCAGCAGGGAGTGTAGGGGAAGGTAAGACTTGCTGTAACACATGGGTGGGCACCTGCGAGTGGTTGAGGGGGTGGCTGCCCCCCCGCACTTGACCAAGAAACTGGCCATCTAAGACGAGGTTGTCCAGGCAACTGCTGACTAGCCCGGAGTCCGTTGAGGAGGTCACATTGTCGAAGCGAGGAGAGTCTAAGCCCTGCCAGAGGAGACCACCGTCAGTGGGAAAACTCTGCCGTCAAACAAAAAATTTGCAATAAGATTAATCAAGACACAGAAAAAATTAAAAAACTCATAATTGCCACACATGGCCATGGACAGATAGATCATTTCATCATATCTGCTGAAACAAAAAAATATAAACCACAAAAAATGAATCACCATTAACAAAATCAATCAATCAAATACAGAAAGAAAGAAAAAGAAAAAAATATGATTTCAAAACAAATTGATGTAACAAAAATACCCATTTTCCAGGCATAATCCAATTCTTTTTAATCCTTTTCCTTTCTTTTATCAAATTAAACCATTGCCACCACTGTAGCTTTGTTTTGTGAATATTATTTATACATAGATGGCTCTACACGTGCTCAGTCAACAAGGAATCAATTGACAGCCCCTAAGTCACCTTACTTATTTTTCTAATTCTGCTAATATTGGTACTTTTATTATTATTCTAGGCACCATGATTATTACAAAATGTCATTAAAATATTAACTGCTATAAAAAAAGAGTAACAAAGAATCTTCCTTAAACCATAAAAGGAGAAATTGGGGGAGAGAGACTGTACTAGTAAATGACTTGGTGACTAAGCTCTTGGAGAGTCACAAATGTATAAACACAATTAATAAACAAAATCCACAGTGGATATGGCATGTACATACATAACATCCCCAACAGCATGGGTTAAGTGACTATATTCCTCTGTGATCTTAAAGGCTGGATAAATATCCTCTACAATTTATTATTAAAATCTGAGTAGGAAATCCTGTTTTTTTAGTTTTTTTTATTATTATTATTATTCTGTTCTGTAGCATCTACATATCATAAGACAATTTACATAAAGTAACAAACATAGTTATCAAAATATTTTTGTGGTGTGTGTGGTGTGTGTGTGTGTGTTGTTTGTGTGTGTGTCTGTGTGTTTGTGTGTCTGTGTGTT